GAGAAGTGAACTGCATTTTTTTATATAAGAATGTGCGGCAGTTCCTAAGTTGCCTAGAATGTCTCGGGCTCTCGAGTCCGTGACCAACTTACTGTAGCGGTCGACCTCTGAATGAAAATGCATATCACTGTCGCACAAAGTAATACATATCAAATTCATTGAGACCATAGAAGCATTGCCGTGTACATGTCAGTCCTTTTACGGCTTTACAAATGCAATATGGTGTAGTTTTCTCAACTTTACCTTGTGTCAAGTCAAGAGGCTCCCAAAGGAACAAGTACCCACCTGATGATAAGTCGTCTGCGCGCCCATACACTTTGCAACACCAGGGGAATTGCAATAGTATCGCTAGTGTTTAAGACCTTCCAGAGTAACTTTCCTCGACTTCCTACCTCCAAACTTTGAGTGCTTTTGGCACGCTAAGTAAAGTCTTCTTGAAGAACTTTAAGGCGCATAAGTTTAACTAAACCAATCGTTTTTATCGACGTCACGAACGTCATCAGCCGTTCTAATGATAGAGCGCTGCCTATCAAATCCCGATGAGTAACAACGGGAAAATTAACGGCACAAGTGCAACAGCACCTTGGCAATAGCGCCGTGCGAGGGGGCGAATACGTTTCCCGTCCAACGAAAATAGAACGCGCTGTAATGGTCACGAATTGGCTCCGGTCGGAGGCGGAACTCTTTTTTTTAATGTGATAAAGTGGCAAACGAGCTGGGGGTTCACCCGATGTTAAGTGATAACCGCCGCCCATGGAATTTTGCAACACACATCGGGTTGCAAATGCATTGTCACCTTTAAATAAAGTGGGCCCCGGCCACCTCACTCACCAGACGCAAAGTAGAAGTGTAACACTTCTACTTTGCGTCGGTCTTCTGTGAGGTCGTGGTACTAACCCGGACAGACTTGCCCATTCGTGCAACAGTGAACACTGTTGCGTGGCCCTACCACTCGACTGTAAGAAGACCGTTCGGATATTTGGTATGTCTCACGCGACGTAGCTGCTGAATGTTCCGATCTGTTGGCGCCAGATTTATCGTAGTGTTAGTCTAGTGGCCTGGACGTCGCTTTCCGTTGTCCGGATTACTTACGTGCGAAGATTAATAAGTTTCGTCAACGCACCGCGATTCGGCATTTCTTACTATTCTGTTAGGGGAGTATGGTACGTTAGTTTTTGTTTCGTGTTACGGCACATCGCATTGGTTTCGGTGTCGCGGTTAATGAATTACACATGCATGTGGCATACGGTTTCTGCGTGAAACGCAGCAGCCAATCTTGTTCTGTATTAGCTGTTTACCGCAGCTTCGGAACAATGATCTTTTTATTATACACCAGAATAGCTCGCAGTTCTTGTTATGGGTAATAATAGGGTGTTTTTGCTTAAATTTAATTTAATTCTATTAGTTATAGAATCCCAAGTTGATGATATTTTTTTTGGCGGAAAAAGGAGGCAAACGAGCAGGCGGCTCACCTGACGGTAAGCGATCACCGCCGCCAATGGACACCAGCAACATCGAAGAATTCACAATTGCGTCACCATCCAACCCTCTTCTATAATGGAAATATGGATGTTTTCTTTTCTACTTTAAATTTTCCACCAAATCCGAAATTTAAAGTGTGGTCACAGACCGCACACTTGTCGGTCATTTGTTTTTTATGTCAGCTAGTCGCGACAAGTTGTGGTATTGGACATATTCCTTTATATTCAATTCCTTTATTTTTTATTGTTATTAAGTTCTAATGTTATAAAACTAGTACTTGTGCCCTTTTAACGCTATCGTAAAGTAACACTGGTTACACATGGAGAAGAAGGATTAAGCTCACGCGTTTTGTTTGGTGATTGAAGAAACGGGGCCTCTTCAAAGGTTGATAGGTGATGTTGTTGATGCCCATTAGTGGCGGTAACCTGTAACCATCAGGTGAACCGTCCTCTTGCTTTCAGTCTCTCTCTTACCCCAAAAATAAACAAATCTTCAAAGGGATTTGAATGAAATCAGGAAAGTAGATGGATAGTTCAAACGTTCTTTTAACACATTGACCCCTGGATACCTACTGTTTATGCTTAAAAAATTTAACTATTTTGCTGTGAAGAAACTCACGTAAGCTAACTTGAATATAAAATTTGATCATATGTAATTTTGAAAAATAAAAAAGTTTTCCCAGCTATTGGCAATTGCCATTAATTAATTGAATAACACTATACCCAACATTATCTGCTCACTTTTTAATTAAATACAACAAAGCAATAACATTGAACGCTGAAACACGAGTAATTTATAGTTTTGAAATGCACCAACCCCATCGTTTCGACAACCGGGAAGTAGGGGGAGTTCGGGAACCCTTTCAAACGTACTAATCGCGTAATGCTGTATTTGTGTTGGGGATAATGTCAACAAAGCATTCTGTTACCGGGGGTTCCCCTAATTGCACATGTTAATTTGTTTTTTTTTTCTTTTTAATATATTTTTATTATATTTATAAGCGACAAGCGGCCCGAGCTTTCATTTATAATTTTAGTTATTTAGATTAGGTTATAAAATAATGGAGTTAATGAAAGGCAAATATTTAAAAGGTGATGAAATAGACCTCTCATGGTCGTTCGAAATTTCTAAAATTATGACTTAAATGTAACGCAACTGGTTTTATTTTTATTATCTTTGAAAAAAAATAGTAGGTGGCAGTCAAATTTTATTTATAAAGCATCATGAAGCCAACACTTGTCAAAGGCGATATATAGATACTATACTAGGTAAATTTAACGTGGATTTGATAGTTTCACGCCCGGTTTCTGAAACACTGATCATCGAATAAATTAACTAATCAGCTGTCAAATGGCTTTTCAAATGCCATTTGAGTCGCCAAAAGTATGGTTCAACTTTTTTAATTTAAAGACTCCTTAAAGAATCTCTGTTGGGAAATATTATTTTTACCTATAAAACTCGGAGACATAACGGCAATTGATTAATTGTATGCAATCATGACGTTTTAGGTCGTCTGTACAAACAAATGCCAAATCTTGCAAATTATCCTCGCTCGTGACTGAGCTTAGAGCAATAATTTGTAACGCATCACTCATCAAATATTTTACCACCGTTACGACGCGGTGAACAAATCGTATAGAATTTGTCAAGTTTTTCTTTAACGAAATTTTTCTTAAGCTAAAAAAAAAAAAGATTGCAATTATTATGAGCTCAAGACCAGCCACCAACAGAACTTGTAAATGTATAACATTTTTATAATAAGGCTTTCATCCAGGTAATCTTACAATCTTACTTTATTGACAAAGAGAACGATTGGTGAATTTAAATATTTTTTGCTATTTTTTCTGAAAGATTTTAAGCATGTTTTAACCACAATACAAGAAAAATTTCTAGACCAAAGTATTTTCCTCATATAATATTTCTAAACAAAGTAAACCCGACTTGCGCATCGAATTCCCAATTTAATAGTCTTAACTTGACAAAATTTATAAAAAAAAGTTAAGTTTTTCCATATCCATTTAATCCTTGTTGCCGAGAAAAGCACCATAAGTTCCCAGCGGTTTCGGACCTATCGCAACACGGTAACAGCGAGAGCGGTCGACCACAAATCACTAGCAGAGAGAGTGAGAAACGCGATATAATAGTTCATGAAAGGCGTAACCTTTACTTTATGAACTTAATAAGCGGCGGCCGCGGTATCGGCCCATCAGCGACACCTCGGCCCGCGCTCGTGCTTTAATGCGAACGTGGGGCAGACGTGACCGGCACCGTCGGCTCGTTTCCGAATGAATAAATCACCAGGCGAATCCAGGCTCGTTTGTTAGCTCGCTGAGAGAAAGGTGTTCGATACGTCGCTGCCTTTGCGAACGCCGAATATATCTTTTGCCTTAGACGCGACCTGATCGCTGATTCCTAGTATATGTGAGTGGCACCTATTTATCACGCGCTCGGCGGCGAGCGTAAACATCGCGAGAGATCATCGTCTCTAGTTGAAATATTTTAAAAGCAATTTGACGATGGTAGGAAGTATGTTGTACGGGTGGAGATGGCGTGAAGCATTGTCAATTGGAGGATATTTAAGCTACTAATTCAGTACGTACATTGAACTGTTCGATAGACGGCTGATGCTTGCGTCAGCTCCGTTCCATCTTACCACCGTGACGCGTTCGGGGGCGTGCGATGGCGAATTTTTATCTCCCGGTGAAAGCGACTTCCCGTATTAAGGTCGGTCGTGCCGTTTCCGCCTCCGAATCGAGCCCCGCTTTAATCACGCCGCCATCGCGATCCTATCGCGGCGACAGTTTTCACACCGGGAGCGATGCGATCTCAATGCTACGGACAGAAGCGCCGTGGCCCCCGTGACCGCGGCGGCGATTCTCGTTCGCCTATCATGCGCCCGCGACATGTTTACGACCGCGGCCACTCGTTAATTCGAGCCAATTAAGGGACGCCATTAGAGCCCTCTACGAGTGATATTCACGCGAGGAGCGTTAATGCTCCTGGTATTAATCTACATACTTAATACATCGGGAACTCACGCTCGAGATACCACGACCCATGACTCGAGATTTTAACTGTGGTACGGTCACGCAATAGTGTTTGCTGTTCCACGAATGGGCAAATCCGTCCGTGTAAGTAACACGACCACATAGAAGACCGGCGATAAGTGGATGTGTTATACTTCTGCGTTTCGTTTGAGTGAGGTAGCCGGGGCCCACTTTATTAAAAGGTGGCGACGCATCTGCAACCCTACGGGTGTTGCAAATGTTTATGGGCGGCGGTTATCACTGAACATCAGGTGAAGCGCCAGCTCCATTGCCACTTTCTCACATAAAAAAACAAAAAAAAATTACTAGTAGTAACGGATAACCGTTAAGTGTTGATGTGCACCGAAATCAATCACAGCGATTCCGCGACTAATCAACCGCCGCGTGACGTTTTCTTAAATGCTACTGAGTAGACAACCGCAGCCTCTGCGTGCGACATTGATCTTTGTCGTCTCAATCCGACGGTCTTTAATCCTGTGCGATCCGGGCGCAGCGTGTCGGATAAATCCGCTGATGCGTCACCGTCCCAAACATGGGGTGCATCGGCGCCGTGTCGCGCTTATTGCGAAACGGCGGCGACACGGGGTCGCGACACCCTATCGCGACATCTGTCGCTAGTATCGAGCAGTTAATATTCGCCGTGCGACTTATGCCGCTTTGTCGCCGACGCGACGTGTCGCCCTTATCCGCGCGGCGATCAATTTCTCCGAGAGAAATCTTCAGCGCGCCCGTCAAGGGACGCCTTTAAATGTTTCGTTGTTTATTTGCCGCTTATGTAAAGCGTAGAAGAAAATATGGGATTGATGATTATGGATTGTGCGATTTTCATTTTTCTTTATTAAGCACCCTTATATACCCATGAATGCCCATATTTGACTGAGATTGTTAGAATGCGCAGAAAGGTCTTAAGGTTGTACAATGGATAGAGTATTATTAAACTTTGAGCGTTTTAGATTTTAACATGGTAAGGGCTTTAGACTGGAGTTAATTAGCATTAATGTTTTGCTTGTACCGAATTTTCTATATTTTTAAATGCTATTAAAATAGTTTTTGAGGAATAAATAAGAGAACTTTCTAAAATTTAATGAATTTTAAGAATTTATTGTTTACACGGGTATCAAAAACGTTCTAATGACAGCGCTACATGATTCATAAGTTTAGGGTTGGTGAACTAGCAGTAATGTAAAATAATGACTGAATTAAACGCGGGAAAAACGCACAAACAGTAAATAAGAAAGGCGGAAGTTAATAAAAGGATGGACGTTACTAAGATGTCACTAATATGCGATGTCAGAGACTAATATGCCACGTCAGAGAAAAAATAAAACTGGCATCGTTTGCAAATGAGTTCTAGTTTCAAAAATAATGACGTTCGAATTATGGTAATTTCGAGTCTCGCCCCCCTTAAATGTCCCGGGACCACGAGGGTGGCCTGCGACCCTCACGGTGTGGAATTGCCGCGCGCTGCCATACCCGGAATACTGATCGCCGCTTTACTCAGTGCCGAATGTGCCTATCTATTTAATTTGTTGATATTCCTTGAACCAAATCCAAATGAACCCTAACAGGCTACTCAAACAGCGCACAGAGTATAAAACAAAGTCGTCCCGCTGTCTGTCTATGCTCAGATCTTTAAAACAACGGATATTAATGCGTTTTTTTTTTTTACTAGAGTGATTCAAGAAGAAGGTATGTATAACACATTGCAAAGCCGGGGCGGGTCGCTTCTTTAAAAAATATTTTGAACAGCAAGTCTTTGCTTGTCTAAAAAAAAACGGGTTATGATTTAATGACAGGGTAAATATTTATTGGAAGTGTAATAATGATATTTTGAAACTGACATCGTTTCCGATGTCCGAATTCAGCAGTGAATTTTCTTTTAATGCTCTTTGTGTGTGGCTTTCTAATACAACCTAAATGTATACTTTTATGTAGTATACTCCTGTATTAATCCTACTATAACTAGTATTATAATTATTATTTATATATATTAAATTGTGCAAGTTAAATTAGTTAATCCGTACCCCGATAGTTTTATTAGGTTCAGAGTTTCCAACAAAAAGCAAGTCGCTGGAATTTCTGAATACAATCTTAATATGCATTTCGACTCGAGAAAAAACTGCCCTTTATTGCCTTGGGAACCCACCTGTTATTGTGTCTACGTGTTGCATCGGCACTGTGGTCCCGCATCGCGAGGTGTTCATTAGGAGCGTGTTTAATCGCCGGTCCTTTTGCTATTTCATAGCGTTGCTTTACTAAGTATTTTGGTTTGTCAGGGGTGGCCGACATTGGAGTATAAAAAGTTAATATTTATCTATTAGATGAGTCGCTGTCGACTTGTATGGAAACAAGTCGAGACTTAGTCTGAGTTATATCTGAATGTTTGTATGTCTGTGTATCGACTATGTCTATGCATTCACTCGCTAAGGGAGGATTCACTAGCATGTGTCAATATCATAGCTCTTTGCGTCTAAAATGTGTCTATGATCACAAAATCTATCGATGAAAAGCATCGTCAGTCAGGAATGACTTATAAAATAAGGATATAAGTCATTAAAATTAGAGTGTTTAATTAATATTTAAATGTCGTTAAAAGCTTGTTTCGTATAACAACGCCATGAATTATTTTAAAATATTACTCTTATCGTAACACTACATACAGTATATTGTTTCCGATATCGAATGCCAATTGCTTTAAAATGTAAATACCCTTCCACGAAACAAAAAGTATTTAGTAATTGTTTCAATTTAAATCTAACTATGCTCCGGCTTCGTATTAAGTTACAGGTAACCATAAACTAAATAAAGTTCTCAAGATAATCCCATTGTTTTGGATCGTTAACCTATTTCCAAAGACCTATTTCTTCTTTCGTTTTTGCCTCATAAAAATGCATGAGTTTACGTCGCTTTGATCTTTCCTTATTAAGAGGGCGAACCGCATTTGACATTAGTTCGAATTTGAATATTTAAAACGGGTTGTGTCCCTCGTACTTTAAGCTTTTAAGCTTAATAGGCTAAACTTAATAACAATAGGACACTGATTCATATATTTTCCATTCAACATCCCTCATGTTGCTCATTTTTTGTGTATATACTATTATAATACATATAACCTACACTGTCACGTCATTCTGACTCGTATCTATTAAGTATTAAAATTTGGACTAATAAATATTACATTTAAACGAAAATGTTTTACAAATGTATTATTCTTTTATGATTTTAAAACGTATTTATGTTTATTTTATTTAATTTTCTGTACTGTTTGTTATTTCATATATACTACTGTATTGGCTTCGACCGATAATAACTTTAATGACAAGATAAAGCCGAAATTATTTCCTAATTTCAATATATTGTAGACAATTTTTCTTAGTTAAATATATCTATACATAAAGCATGAAAACAAAACAAACTAAATATCAAATCGACTTGGAATGGAGAGATAATGCGTGCATAATCTCGATTGTAGAAGGAAATGAGAGAACATTCCCCCTCATTGCGGTTACCACCACTATACTTACTTGCATATACTTTAATATCTATAAGAAAATTGCCCCTGAAACCTATCATCAGGCACCAACGGTGTGGGGCCAGACACGCGACCCTTTGCAAACATGTTTGCAGTGTACATGTATTTTAAGTCAATGTACTAAGGTGTAAATTGTTTTGCTTAATCGCACGAGCGATGTGTTGCTGACGTACCGCTGACGTACCGCTGAAAAGCTCGTCAACAGTGTCGCCATGGCGATGAGGAGTGCACTACACTTGCATTCAATAAACGCTCGAACGAGTTCGAATAATTCACTTGACTCCGACAAAATAATAACTAACTAATATTGTTATAACGTAAATAACATACTTAACTTATTAACCTGTGGCGTTTGAGGCACGAGAGAGTAAAACAATTCGTGTGGAGCGTTTATGGCATTCGGCTTTGTTTTTGAAATTGTTTATTTCCGTCTATGTGGTACGTATCGACTGCTATATAATTTTATACTCTGTCTATTTGTATACATATGCGATTGAAACCTTTGGTTATATATTAACAAAAGTTCGCTTGTCTTTGCTTTGAGATATTCATGAGGTTTTTCATTCCATTCCGACTATGGTGGTGTTTTCCCTCACTCAAGACCGCCGTATTATATATGCCAATGTATTTAATTCCGAATCTCTACCTTCGTTAAGGTGGCAATCGAACCTGCAATATATAATTGCACTGTAGTAGTGCTACTCCTGTTGCACGAATGGGCAGGCTCGTTCGGAGAAGTACCACGGCCGCACAGAAGACCGGCGCGATGTGGAAGTATTATACTTTCGCGTTTCGTCTCGTGAGGTTATCGTGAGGTTACCAAATATTTTGATGGTTCGCAACATCAGGTGAACGACCTGCTTGCTTAAAAGTGATACTTTATACATTTCCCACTGCTGGGCAAAGGCCTCATCTATACAAAGGGTATTAAGGCATAATCCACCACGCCGCCCAACTACGGATTGACGGACTGCACATATCTTCGAAATATTTTTTTTCTTATTATTTCGAAAATTAGCACGTGATAATTCAGCACTTAAAATTAACAATTTCATTGGTGCCGGCACCGGGGATCGTACTCAAATTGCTCGAGTAACACCTACATTGAATTAAAGGCGAGCGCCCGGACACTGAGCTATCACGGCTTGCATTTATGTTAGATTTATGTTATAAAGCCAATATAAAAAAAGAATCCCTCTAGTTTTCCCGCATGTTTTAGGATGCAGTTATCAATACGCATCACGAGGATGCTCACTTGCCTTTTGTCATCTTCATTTATTTCATGGATTTCTATGGAAAGTTTGTCTTATCCTTGATTAAGTTAAATAATTAAGCAAGCTCATATTCATATCACGCATGTCGGCGTACAAAAACAACTGAGATGCGAGTTACGCCTTGTGAAAAGGTCGTCCAAAAATTATAATATAAATGACACCCAAATACTGGCAGCCGCGGGAAACTTTTAATTAGCGCGTTGTTAATCCCGAGTGGCTTTCAGGCCCTAACGACCGTAGAACCCCATTGGTTTTAAAGCCGAAGACGAAAGAACCTAAGAGTCAACAATAAGTTATAACGCGGGGTAGCATAAACAATTCGGCTTTGTAGCAACTCGACCGCCCCTGTCGCGTCGTAAACCAAGGTCCCCTTTTAGGTGCATACTAAAACCAGCAAGTGACACCTTTCTCTATTCTACGAGCCCAACAATATAGGGTTGACTGTGCGTTTATCACTTAAGACAATGCCACTGCTTACTGCCAGGCGGTGTTCGTAGGCAAGCACTAGGTACTTTTAAGCTGCGTTACATCTTTTTTGCTTAAGTTTTTTTACCTATAGTTACTTCATTCCTCCTGACAGATACTTCATTTGCGTTGTACTAATATAACAAACGCTGCGTCGATTCCTGTATTTTAACCAATGGCGCCATCTAGGGAATCCTTTTAGAAAAATATTTACCAAACTGACTGAAAAGGTCTATTACACTTTCTTCTTGAAGATTCACACTACACTATGAAGAAAATGTGGGCTCCAACGCTTTTTAAATTTATGAATGAATGAATGAATGAATGAATATACTTTATTGCACACCAAAAATAAAACAAACAAAAATTAAAACTTAATGTAGAAGTAGTGGGTACAATGGGCCTTATTACTAAGAGTAATTAAATACTTTTTAAATTTATATTATGGGAAATCGCTACCTTAACAGTTTTTCTGGGATAAAGTTCTGTTTTTACACAATTTCACAACACAAGATAGCGTTATTTTATTTTTAAAATTTGAAATAAACTGTACCTACATAGACGCCATTGTGCAGCGTTATGGCTAGAGAACTAAGATGTAAATGTTTGTGCGCATGTATGTAGCAGCGATGAGGCTTACTTATTTTGCCTCACTGTCGATATAAGTAGTGCGACTCCACTTGATCCAAAGCTTTCTCTTCAGGTATTAACTTATAGATTAGTATTAACGTTTGGGTATATCAGTACCACAAGTATTTACGTGCTCTGGTATAACAGGCCGGTTCAGGTTTCTTTTGGTTCGGATTTCGGAACCCTGTACAAGTTGCTCCACTGCGGTTTTGGTGGTCGTTTCTCATGCCTCAACACATCTGATCTGGGTTGGTTTCGACCACCTTAACATAATCTCCTTAATAGCTTTCGATCCGATAACTAGTTGTATCATTAGAAAATTAACCATTTTTTCTTCAAAATAAACAGGCATACCTGTACTAGTAAATAAAAATATGAAAGCGTTGAAGCAAATTTAAGTATAAAGTATATGTAAAGTGTATATTTTTATCCTATTGTTCTTATCATGACTTAAGAAAATTACCAACCGGTATTGTAAACTTATAGGTGTAACTTGTACCAATCAAATTAAGGAATCATCTCTTGTTTGATAAATAACAAGTAAACTATTCTACTCTAAACTATACGGTTTCAGATAAAAAAACATACATTCAACCAAAAGGAAATTATTTGCGATTTAAAATAGAAGTTGTTGCAGATTAGCGCTGAAAATAAAAAACAAGCCTAAATTTCTATAGCCAACACCTCTTGTTCAAATCATTCATTGTAAAATGTTATAAGAGGGTTTTCTATAATGCTGCTTGCTACGTGGTCAAACATTACTTAAAACACATAATGAAATTAGGTTTTAGTGCCGTAAGGATACCGGCCGCGTCACGCAGAAGACTTAAGTGCGAATCGCAAAGCGCCGAAAAAAATTTTTGCCAATTTATCTATTTGTCTATTTTACTAACATATCATATTTATACCTATTTAGAAGAAAAAATTGGGGCTCATTATTTGGTAGTAGCCCAAAACATAACGATATTTAGAAGTCATTAACCATGATTGAATTGTTAAACTGCGTAAAATATATCGTAATCAGACCCAGTTAGCAAATTAGTGTTTTATTCTTTTACCTTAAAATAAAAAACGTGAATTCCTTATCCAACTATTATTAAATTTGCATGATGTAAAATAAACGATTCAAAACAATGCTATTGATAATCACCTTATTAACCTCATGTTTGTTAAGGCAAAGACTCGTTTGTGCATTTTTGGGTCAAGAGCGATCTTATGAACGAATAAAAGTTCATTTCGAAAAGTAATATTATCGGCTGCAATCGTGGGTGATTAATAAAAACTTATGTTGTGTTAGGTCCCATTAAACACACTATAAAACGAAATAGAGTATAATATTTCTACCGTAGATATAGCGGTTTGGTAAATATTGGTGGCTGATGTGAATTTTAAACTAATGGTAACGACAAAACGAAATTTACAATTGAATTTTATATTTCAATAATAACCTAAACATAGTATTGTAAGATTTTAGTATTGCAAGAATAACAGTATTGTATAGTTCAGATTTTTTACCGACTTCAAAAGAGGAGGAGGTTTTCAATTAGTCTGTATTTTTTTTATTTGTTACCGAACTTTCGACTGGGCGAAGCGATTTTGATGATTGTTTTTTTAGAAGTTTTTTGATATTTAGTTTTATTAACGTAATTATTTATCCTAGCACAGTCAAATAAATAAAGTCATATGACTGCAGTGCTGTTTGGGCTACAATTACTTCTATATTTTTCAGTATAGCGATTTTTACATAAGATTGTTCTATCATTCTAGTTTACTAAATAGAAAAATCTTCGCCGGTGCAAGGCAAAGTATTGGTATTGCTAAATACCTGCGTAATTAATATGCCTGGTGAAAAGTGGAAAGTTGAAAGAAAGCTTGGTTCTCCATAATATTTATAAAAGCGCACCTGCTTCATCACTTATCAAAACGGGAGAGAACTTAACGACGCATTGGATCCATTACGCTCCAGCGGTAATTCAAATCTCCCATCAGATACAGAATGTAAACGCTGTTCCCGATGATTTATAAAATGGCACGAACCAAAGCAAATACGATAGCCCGTTATGCAACAAAACAATGCAAATGTTTTATTCATGTACGTATTATGAATGCCCTCCGGTAAAGGTAGGCGTTTTGTCTGTTTTCCTATTAATATTTTCTCCTAAATACCGTTATTCTCTAGATATCTTTATGTGATAGCGAATATTTTTTTAAACATCGATATGCGTTTTATAATTTCAGTTACAATTTATGACCTTTTCTTACCTATCTCATTTTTTTGCGCGTCAGTGGCGCCATTATAATCATTGCTGTTTTTAATTCAAACGGCCTTTTGAAAAATAACGATTAAACTGGGCGTACCCGTTTATATGATGCATTCTTGTGAAAGTTTACATAGTTCAACGGTGGGCGGAGAGATGGCGCTGCGATAAATTATTCTATATATTTTTTGAGATTAAGTTTAGAACATTGTTTGTTCAAAAATTTAATAAGAATGTAGATTTATATAAAGTTTATTTTTTATATATGTGACGAATATAGTTTTTGTCCTTTCTACGAGAAATATTTCAACAACATACGTTTACAATTTAATTTATGGAACGGTTGACATATGTATGATGATTACATTATTATTGCCGGTAGAAGGTTTCAATTTTGCGTTTTCTTTTATTGTAAAATTTAAATTTGGATTTTTAATTCATTAAAGTAAAATTAAAAAGATTTATATAATTACTGTGTGGTTTTCGTATAAAGATGATCAAATTAGAAGGCAGAGTCTTTGACAAATTTATCTACGATTATAATACCTTTACTTGTTTACAATTTTATACTAAAACTAATAACGCAGTTCCTTGCTAAACATTTTTGTTTTAGGTTGATGTACGGATAGATTCCTTGTGAGCCTTTGATAAGCCGTGCAATGATGCATGACGTTAAGGATGCAACTCTCTTTGTAAAGCAACATTTAGTTATATCTTTACCCATAATTTGCTGAATAATTAATAAGTTATCTAGCCGTATTTGATAGATCGTTTATGCATTTAAAACAGCTGTTTTATTGAGGTTTTCGAAAAAAATTTAGATTAGAAAGTCCGGATGTGCCGCGTTACACGTTGCTACAATTCCGAAATCCGTCCGGATGCACGCGGGTATTGTGGTGCGCGGACAATTCGCCGCGGATCGCCGGTTTCCTGTCCATGGAAACATTTCCTCTAACTTTCCCGCGTCACCATCGAATAACCCAATTAAAACCGCGCCCTGCACGAGTACATTACGATGTGCTTACAAAATTAATAACGTATTCAGCCACATAAAAAAGAAATATACATTGAAATTTATCGGTCTACATTTATGTTTGTATTATATCGTCCCACTATTTCAACAGATTGGCGCGCACCGATGACGGACGAAACGGAGGCGGCGCGAAGGCGACCGCCGCCGCCGCCGCCGCGGCCCACCGTTCAGCATGGCACACCGCTGAGCCAGCAGCACGGAGCCCAAGCGAGCCCGCAGCACACAACTCATATGAGTCCGCAGCACACGACTCATATGAGCCCGCAGCACTCGACTCATATGAGCGCGCAGCACTCGGCTCAGGGTCCGCAGCACAGCGCTCAGCTGGCCATTCAGCCGGTGCGGCCTCCCGAGCCGCGGCCTCGCACCCAGCAACCGCCACGCCTCATCAGGCCCTCCGAGCACCTCGCGATAGTGGAACGCGCCCGCGAGCGCCGCGCGCCCCCCCTCACCCCCACCGTCGCGGTAATACACGGTCCCCGACCCCCCTCAGCGCCCCCGGGCCACCACCTAGTTCCCTCCCGCAGCACCGCCATCGTCCCCCATGTGCCCCTGCTCCCCCACGCTCACATATCTCACATACCTCACCACCCCCCCGTGCCCCAAGTGCCCCCGGCGCCACCGGCTCTTCGTCCGCGAGCCCCGCCAGCGATAAGGATGCCGGCGCCGATCCCGCCACCGGTCATGAGGTTGCCGCAACCAAGGAGAGATGTTCAGGTAATCCTCTATTCATTATTATAGTTTATTCTGTTCTGTGGCGATTATCCACAGCCTTTTGTGCGTTAATCAGGGCCTTTAAGAGTCACTTCACACTAATTTGTACATCTCAAATATGATCAATAATGCACTGCTTCAAACTTGTCAACAAATTAGAGAGGACGGCACGTCCGAACCGCATGTAAGAAGCTTAAACCTCGCCCACACAATCACGGGCTTTCTCGGTCGACATATCCGACCGCGTAATCCGGGAGCGGGCCCAATCCGTAACGGGCGTAGGAAGCGTCTCGGGACACGAAGCGCTGTGAATGTTTAAAAATTATGAGCGTTCATTTTTCCCGCGTGGACTGATACGAAAGCGCGCTTAATTTACGTTCCGTCGAATGTCGTAAATTGACACTAGCCGATGATGCAATTGACTTTAATAAAGTCCTCAAGCGGTGTGTTTTCTCTTACTTTTTTTAACATTCTCAGGTAATGTAGCGAGATGCGTATAGGAATATTCTGTCAATAATTACTACACTAGCCACACCTGTGTGTAAATATCTATATCTGTTATTCTGTATTTCTTATAATAATTTATTTGACTTGCAATGATATATAGATCTTTATTTTCTATAGTCAACATAATGTATGATATGCTAATGGTATGTATAATATTCATGCATAGCATACTATGTAGATGCATAAAGTCGCCTCGTGAATAGTACTTTCTTGTGAATAATATTCATAAGTTATCATTCATCAAATATGTAGTGGCCGCTTTTCAATACCGTAAGTGCAATATTGCGATAATAAACGTGTTGTTTTCGTGGCGCCAAGTATAAACGTCTCGATATGTTAATCATGTACTGGTTTTGCTTCTTATCTCGGTCGCAAATCTTCATGCATTGAGTCGTTTGTGGATTGAAATGCATGATTACATAAGATTACTGGATTTTTATCTATGTTTCAGTTGTACAAATTCCACTTAAATCCAGCTCGTAAAACATCGAAAGTATTTTGAGAATTTTCAATGTACCGACCGACAAATGAACCGGTCGATAAAATGTTTAAAATTCTTGTTGTTTACGTAAACCTTCTTAAACCTTTTATTTTATTGAAAAATAAAACGTATTACTTCACCATTGAGGTTAATTTAATTTCACTCCATGCAGCAATTGCAAAGTTTAGAGAAAGTCTTGAAAATATTTCTTAGTATCGAGAGAACAAATTAGGACGCCTTTGTCATCACTAAAGTCGAACAAGTTTTAATACCGTTTGACCCAGTCCAGAAGAAAGGACACTAAAGGGACATAGCACTCACAAAGCAGTACAAGGCCGGAGAGATTCTTGAGCGTCTAATTAAATCACTCTTGGTACACGCAAAGAGCGTAAATTGACCAGTATCTCTTTTAATTCTATATGACAGGGGTTTTATTTTCTTAGAAATTATATTTTTTTATCTTACGTTAACTTGGAATGTCATATATTTTATTGAAACTCCAACACGCTCGAAAGGCTGCTTTTAAAGGATACAAGCCGTGTGCCAATCGTTGAAGTGGTTAATCAATAAACGTTTCTAACTGTCGACTGTCTACGATGAAGTTTATTAAGGATCTTATAGCTTCTTTTAAATTTAAAAATCTCCCTTTTACTATCAACATCCCAAAGATTCTAACTAAAGTATTAGTTACTGCTGTGCCAGTGAACGTTATTCTTACAATTATAAGAAACAAAAAAACTTTTGTTTGTTATAATTGGAATTTTGGAAAAAACTAATATTCAATCTCGGCATACTTTCCAATGATATGATACTAGCGCACCGAAATTGAGGCAATCGCATTACACCAACTGGTGTGATTACATTGCAATTCTACAGACTGCTATCTCTTTCCATATCATACGTTCATATCATCTATCACATTCACTTACATATGTCATATAATGTAAAGCGGAACAATTTTTAAACGCCGCGATGACATGCGTCATCTATATAAAATATATTAAACATCATTGATGCTATCGTTTTAATTTTAACCATCATTACAACAACACAACCTTTGTTGCGAGCCAACCGCCTAAGATTAATAGTGCCACGTCCTCATTCTTATCTCCGTTAATGGCTTATTAAAAGATGATTACGGTGCCTTCCACTCTTGCGGCACTATCGGGTATTCAATTTAGCTTACAATGCGACCCACATCAGGGCTCGAGAGCGTGGCGTGGCCCAGTTGCTATATATCGCTTTATAGTTGCTATATATATCGCTATATATCGCTATATATCGCTTTATTGGGCGGCGATCAGGTTTGCCAAGCGACGCTCTATAACGGTACCTACTCGAACATAGTTAACGTTTAAATATCGCATTATCGTCCATTATAATAATTACTCTTGTGAGAATATGTAACTACATCAATTTACAGCAATTTTCATCTTCATATCATTACGATCTTTATATTAGTCTGTAAAGCGGTGTTTTATCGCAAACTAACTAATGTTTAACTGCTTGATGACTTGATTATTGACGTATTTTTTACATATTAAACACATCAACTCAGTAAAGCACCGAGAAGCCTAATCCTAAAGCCTGTCGTATTTTGCCTTGATAGGAATTTATTGTTTTTCACAAGTTATAATTGTTTTCAATCCTGCTCCATTGTGAATAATGAATCATCAAATTTTTTTATGTGAAAAGTTGTCAAGCCAACAGACGGTTCACCTGATGTTAAGTGAATACCGCCGCCCATGGTCATCTGCTACACCATAAGGTTCCAGATGCGTTGACAACCTTTTGAAATTGCAGAATGCGGATTAAGATCGTTTTGTAGATAAAATATCTGTTATTGTTGATTTATTTCTACATTTTTATATTATTTGTTATTTGCTATGTAATATGCACATTACAAATAATTCAACTTGAAAAATTTTTAATTTTATACAACCGAGTCGAAACAATGTTTACGTTCACGTCTTTAAAAATGGCAGGTTGTTTTGTTCGTTTTAGAATTTGGATGAATAATTTAAATATAAATTCACGTCTGATTATCATTTGACCGTTGATGTAGAAAAAATAAGTTTATTTGTTAAAATATGATACAAAAACTTTTTCAAAATTTTAACGTTGATTAGTTTACGACTGATCGGTTGTAAAGGAGTATTGGTGAAATTAGACATGCGCTTTGTAATTATCTGATCAGGCAAACGTGCTTCTCATCATCATCTTTAATCAGACGCTGTTACAGCGCCACCTATCATCTCAAAGGTGCAACCTACAAAGCTCAACAATCTTCTCTACTTTTGCTACCTACTTGCGACTATTGTTTCTTTATTTTCTTTGTTTAACGTATTTTACTATACAGCGTGTCGTTACCATCGCGACAATAAATGAACACACGCCTAACGCTACTTGCCAATAATCATAAAAAAATATTAACGTTAAACAAAATCCATAATTAAATAAAAATATTTTTCAAACAAACTAATTAAGTAAAAAAGAAACAAAATTTGTAACATCCTATACAATTCGCGCCACAGCGTCGCATTACAAGGCTCTCCTTCTAACAATATGTTTTGTCTCTTTTAAATTCATTCAACCCATTCATATGCTTTGTGTGACCTTTACAAATGAACTTTACGTTACAGTTTTATACGTAAGGATGTTCTAAAATTGTTTGTTTTGGAAAATTTAATAACTCGGTAAATATTGATGTTTAAAGAATGTAAATGTTTAATACAATTTTAAAAAGTTATCCTCTATATGTGTGTTCATTTATTGTCGCGGTGGTAACGACACGCTGTATATTGCTTTGATTTGTTCAATTACTTCAATTAGACACGAGTTTCTAAATTATTACAAAATCCTACGAAATCCATATCATCAATTGTCTAAAGAACTAACAGACGCCACTATATAATTTTAAAATGTAAAAGACTAGAAGTGTAAAATATCATTCGATAGAGATAACATTGCCACTTCAATTTGATTGCTCGGCGCTGCCATTACTGTAACGCCGAGCCGGCCCGTTCAACGTTTGATGGACAATCAGTGTGCCTCGAACGAGATAGCTCGCTCTGATTTTATTGAGGCACAATTGTTCGGCCGCCGCTAAATGGGCTTCAACGCGACTTGGAGCTGTAACGGTGGTCCTAAGGTGCGCGGTTATGTCGGGAGTTTTATTGTTGTTAACCTCTGTCGTTTTAGCACGCGTTGCAATTGCATTTGCAGCTTCAACTTGTATTTTAAAGGTACTAAACGGAACTCAAGTTTTACTTAAACAGATTGTAATGGCTTAGCTGTTGACTAGCTTAAGTATAACTTGCGATCTTATGTCTTGTTCTTCCAGTAGTGTGGTCCTATGAGTTTTACGGAGCTACGTAAGCGCTTAATTGATTTCGAAAATCTCTATTTGAAATACAAAACGTTCAAGTAATAATATTGAAATGAAAAAGACTGAACTACATATAGACTCCGCTAAATTCAAAGCGTGACTGCGCCGAGCTGTACAGTCAACAGAACCACCAATTAGAGATAAATATCGTTCATTATATTACAAGTGATACTCCAGTCGAAACGTATTTGTCGCTTAATGCTATTTTAAAAGGTTACACGGAAAGGTTACGTGCTCACTCCGCCGACCTGGAAGTTTAGAAGTCCGTTTTCTATCGCGGTGTTGTAAATCTTGGAAAGTCAATTAATGTTGGACGCAAGTGAAAGAGACATAGATTTATAGATTTTATAAGGCAGCGTTAGGCAACCCTGGCTTTCGATAGCTCCGACCAAATGACTAATTAAAAACCGATGTCTAACAATTCGGCTCGCTGAATTGTGTAATTATAGCCAACTTGTCTAGAATTCTAATTAAGAACTAATAGAGTGAAACTATTGAATTCTAATAGAATTGTTAGATTTATTACCCTGGAAATAACTGTTCTAATGTTATTTAACGCTCTCTCAATTTTCTTTTAATATCAGGTTAATTAATAGAAAGCTCTAAGTTAATGTAACGAATTTATTTGCCTAAAACTAATTGTTCCGTCACCGTTTTGTAAAACTGGCAGCGAGTTATGACATCATTGAATAAAAATGTTTGAAAATTTCTCACAATCGCGATACAAAATGCCCTTTAAGTTTAAAAAATTAAAACATGCTAAGTATTTTGACTTGTGAAATCCAAACGATATGATTGAATAGTTTCAAAAGATGGATATTAATGGCGGCAATCGATCTGAATACATATCGACGCGTGGGTCGCCATCGAACTGTGTGCAAATTTCTGTTGCGCTTGTGGTTTGTTAGTTACCATTGCAGAGCAATAGCCTTTTAATTGTTAGCCGCCAGGCTCACCCACGTCCGCCGCGCCGTTGTTGTTTGGCGAGTGATTTGCTTTTGCAAAACGCCTCAGCCCGGCTCGGATTGATGCGCGTGGGTGCGGCTCGCGTTCACCGTCGCTATACGGATGATTTCGTTCTAACAGGTCTTTCGGAACTCAGTTGTGGTAGGGCCAAGCGACAGTACGCTGTTGCACGGATGGGCAGGTCCATTTTTTTAATGTGAAAAGTGGCAAACGAGCTGACGCTTCATGCGATGTTAAGTAATTACCGCCGCCCATGGACATTTGAAACACCCGTAAGGTTGCAAGTGCATTGCCGCCTTTAAATAAAGTGCGCCCCGGCTTCTTCACTCACTAGACGAAACGCAGAAGTGTACCATTACGCCGGTCTTCTGTGAGGTCGTGGTACTTACCCGGACGGACCTGCCCATTCGTGCAACAGTGAAAACTGTTGCGTGGCCCTACCACATTTAATAATAATAAATACCATCCGGCGAAGTATCCAATTTATTAAAAGGTAAAGAAACTAATAAAAGAAACTACTGCAAACCTACGGGTGTTGAAAATGTTCATTGACAGCGGTAACCACTCAACATCAGGCGAACCTCCAGCTCGTCTCACGGAAGGCCGGTGCATAGTTCAACCAATTATGCGTTTCTATTTTCTCTGGCAAGAGGTAACAAGCACCACGTATTAAACTCGACAAAGAATTGCAATTCCCTGACTTGACAATTGACAGTTTTCGACCGTCTGCTCATTTGCTATGCTCATAAAAAATTAAAATGGAAAATATGGAGTACACAATTGTCATTCGCGAATGTAGAGATTGCAAAACCCCGGAACAAGTATCCGTCGATGTAATCTCGCAAAGAATGCAACAATGGAATTGCATACCTGCATTGGCAGGCGAACATCCATTGATAGAGCGTTCAGGTGCCCGCATAGCAGATAGTTACACATTCCTTCTTTAGGTTTCGCCACACGGGGAGATTTGCCCCATTAACCGATGAAAACCTGAGTTTGTATATAGATAATAAAGAAATAAAAGCGACCCTGAAGACTATCTTACGAAAGGTAAATTTTTAAGAGCCGAAAGGCGTTGAAGGTGTTCTGTTCTTCTTTAATTTTATTTATAATACAGTTGGGTCCCAAATACAGTATTTAAATTTATTTTGAAAAGTTCATTTTGCTATACTTAGGATATTTTGGTATTAAAACTTAAGCCAATATTTTATGGCTCTTGATACGCTTAGAAAGGCTTATTCGGATACGTTGAAAAATAGCCCATTATAACAGAGCAATAGAAAGTGGTGCATCGAGATCTTTGTAATTTCCATCGAAATAATTGATTAAACGGCTGCAAGGCTTAGGTTAACCATCGTTTGAAAGGAGATAGTTTTTTGATACAATCTATTATAACGCGAATAAATCGGTTTCCGATGAAAAATTTATAACTGCTCTCAAATCTAGTAACCGTTTGATATGGCCTTGAAATGTACAAAATTTTACCAACGTCATAATCCCGATTCTTCTCAGTCTAATTATGTAAGCTGTTTTGATGTGAATTTAAGAAATTCATCCACCAGTGATAACCTTTACTCGAGTAAACATATTTTATTTCAAGGATACGATCATTAATATTACTTTTAGATTCAATTACCGTCCGAGTGAAAGTACAATATACTTCTTTTTCTGATAAATTGCCGATTCGTCGAGCGCTCGGTGATCGCGTGATCGTTCAGATGTCCGGTGTCTTGTCGCCTTTGGCCGATTTTAAAAATTAACTTGTAATATATCGACTTTACAAACAAGAAACGACTCCGACGACATCGCAAGAGTCGCGGGCAACCGGTGTATGCAAATGTCGTTCGATGTGGCGTTCTAAGGAGGAGGTTCTATGTTCAACAGTGGTGATGATGATGATGACAAACAAGCAAAAGAGACTCGTTTTCTTGACAGTTTTTTCTTCGTATCTCCAATGCGTTGCGATCTGTTAGTAACGCATATGATCTCGACTATGGCTACTACAACAAAAAGGCTTTTTTCACTGGAACAAAAATGTATTATGGATTATTCAGGATCGTCAATAACAACTAACCATTAACTTTTCCTTTGCCTAGATCTGATATAAGTGAATTAATAACGCTCTACTAGGCACTGTTTTCTCAAATTTTCATCCAACTTCAGGGAGGACGTTAGGCATCTACATTCAGAGAGGCATATCCCTCCGTATCATTTATACATTGTTCGTTTTAGTTGCTTATTTTCTAAGCACTATGGTAGGCTATTTGGCTGTGGTAGGGCCATGCAACAGTCTTCACTGTTACACTTATGGGCAGGTCCGTCTGGGGCGTTTAGTAGAAGTGTTACATTTCTGTTTCGTCTGGTGAGTTGGGTAGCCGGAGCGCACTTTACTAAAACGTGGCAATATATCTTCAACTCTACGGGTGTTGAAAATTTCCATTGGTGGCGGTTATCATTTTACATCAGGTGAGCCGTCAGATCACTTACCACCATTTTACATTAAATAAAAAATCAGATCTACTACATTTTTAGAATTTTTCATTTATTTGTGCCAAGTCGTGACAGCTTTTTTATTCGTTCGATACTTTTTAATGCCTTTCCGCCATCAATGTTACCCGATACCGTCCGATAAACTTTCTACGCAGCATTAAACTGTCCAATAAGTCCTTTTTACTTGTCGCGTGTCGGTACCAGCGCTGGAGAGCGTCTCGTAACCGGATACCGCCGTAACACAATACCGGGATTATTGGCTGCCACCGAGCAGCCAGTGCCCCATCGAGACGCTGAAAAATAAAGTCGAAACTCCGCAACACCGAAGCGCTCGTATCGGTTTTCAAGTAGCCACTCCAAAAGTGCTTTTAAGCAACTCTTGCTGCACTTTCAATTTGTTTAATAACAAAGGCCGCGTTTTGTTAGCCTCCGAATGGCAGCGCAGTTTTGGCTGCACGGATAGTTCAGTGGTTAAGGCGGGTCATATTGAAAAAAGCCTTGCCGTGTTCTATTTTTGATCCTCACATATGACATAATTTTTTGTGATCCATAAATTAACGTATTTTGGGTGTACTTTCCCTTATGTTGGTGATTTTCATGTGTGTGTGAAACCATTCGCGGAAGATGGCTGAAATTTAAATAAAAGCTCTCGCTCAGTTCATTTTATGCTTATGTTTTTGATCGTTGTCGTTAATTATGTTTTTGAATAAAATTAATCCAATTTTAGTATGTTAAACCCTAAAAGACAAAATATGATTATATTTCCGCATTATGTATCAAATCAAATGTATAAAAACTAACTTACATAGAAAAATCTAAGAGCGATAAGAGTGATTCTTACATTGCTACGATATCAGCGGGGTTGAAAGACCGCGTCGTAATGATTAACTTTGCAAATGATTAACTTCAACAAATTGCTTTAATTATGAAACAAGCGAACACTAGATTAAGGAAACTCATCACATGCATCAACTCGACACTTTATTTCCGATATCAAAACATCACTCGAGCAATATGACAAATTGAAGTAAACAAACGCACAGAGGGCCACTGTTGTATGCACAGCGTTTATTGCCTGCCGCGCTATCGTATGTAAACAAACTGCATATAAATTAGCGGGTACAGTAGAATTCAACGCTAATGCTCGTGAATTAGCACCGCAACGTCCACCCGGGCGCTTTCCAATGTCAACGCGCGAACGCCGCCTACGCAGCACGCGCCCCGATTGGCCGACGGCGGGTGGCGCGCGTCTCCGTTGCATTCGGACGATACGTCACGGTCTTTTGAAACACTCCGGTTTTGTGAACATTTTATAGACAGGTGGCTTAATAAAATGATATGATATGCACCAAGTCGTTCGTTCCTAGTTTATCTCGTAGAGGGAGGAAGACTTTTTTTATTTTTTCGCCGAAGTTTTCAGCAACAGCAGCGTGACTCCTGTTGTTGTTGAAAACCTCCCCATTAACCTATTTATCCGGTATATATAATTTGTATACATAAAACGTGCGTCTACACATTTTCTTGTCCTTGTTCATCTGTTTGTAACTTTGTATTTATGAACGTTTGATTATAATGGAATTGAAATATTCCATACCAATTCATCCACTTTTAAACTGATGATATTATAATAATACTATTACTTTACTAGGCTATTGTCCTTTGAGACAAAATAAAACTTTCTCTTTGCTTGTTATGTAAATATGAACTATATATACCTATTAAGTTTTTTTTATTGAATTATATATTCTTCTTATTAGACTAAGAAGCTTCATTTGAAATTGAATAAAATTCTCTTCAATCGAATTCAAGCCCAACCATCATTTTCAAATTTACGTGTACGTCATAAGAAATGAACTGTATGAACAGTAATGAATGAACAGTGTTATAATAAATATATTCTAAACTGTATTCCATCCTACATGTTGTGTTTGTGAAAGAATTGATTATTATTATGATTAGGAATACAATTTTATGTTAATTCATTATATAATGTTGTAGAATAGCTTTTCTCCGTCATAAAACTAGCAGTATTATTTAAAAGAAAAAGGTTTTTGCGTAAGTTAAAGCTTATTATTTGCTATAAGTAAGATTTCACAAAAAATCGTTATTTATTTTTAAATCACCAATAATATTATGGATAGTGTAGTCAAACCGTTTCATTTGTAAACAGACAAATTCGTTATAACTGTGCAAAATAAAAGTTATTTTATTAACTATTTCAGCGTGCTCCACAGCATCCATCAAGGGCCCTTGTCCACCATTAACATTTATAATTTTAGCGAAACATTAAAATTAAAACTTTTGAATCCTTGACGTGCCGTATTGAACAATGGGCACCCGTTATGATAATGAATCAGTTGTCAGTTGTATTCGGGATGATTATGCAAATATTGACTTTAACAGCGTGCCTCGAGCTTGTCGTACAATGCCTTTTAGAGCAACAATGACGATGATTGTTTTTAATTCTCCGTGCAATACTATTACAAAGGTATGCTTGTTTTCATAAGAGTCTATCTAGGGAAGTGCCTGTTCCTTTAAGTACTCAATAATAAGCTCACTCGGCCCCCTAAAGTAGCTAGGCGTTCAGAGATTGACCGATTTCGTTTTTGTGCCAGGTTCGATCAAGACAGGCGATGAACTCGTCACGGTTTCTAAACCAAGCAGGAATCATCCATTGCGAAAATTCTACTTACATTTTAAATTCAAACATAGATATATTGATTCAGACAAGTGGAACGTTACCATGTTTTTATGTTCCTTAGATACGAAACTTTAAAATTTAAGATATTTTATTTTCACAACGAAGTGTTTTATATTCAAATTTGATAACGAAAGTGTAAAAACATACATGTTATATCAGAGTGATTTGTGGATATTTAAAGATTGAAAGGTATTGAAATTAGTGTTTCTATGTCATCAATAAAAAAAATTAACAACTGTTTCATAATGCCGCTTTTAGATGTTAGAAGTTTTTGCTTGTTTACTTTTTATCAGTTCTTATTCAACTTGACAGGTGAGTTTATGATTCTTTAGCCTTACGTATCGTAATCACGTGGGCTTCGACGATAGAGATACGTTTAAGAGAATTTCAACTTTCGTCGCATGAACGGTTCTGTGACAGAATTTAATATTCTTTCCTATCGTTTCATTAAATCACCTTTAACCTTGTTCTGACCTGAGACGTAAAGGGTACGTTAGCCATGGTACGCGATGAGTTTCAGATTTTCTCCTCACAACAGACTCCTGCGCATCCATTAGGAGCCACAACGCTCTGTGAAAGCGTGAATGACAAGCGAGTAGTGCAGCATTAACAAATCTTCGCATCAATCATCGATCTCCATACTTCCTTGATTGTTGTGTTATGTGGTTTAAGAAGAGTTGAAAAGATTTCCAAACTTAACGCTTGAACGGAACAGTTATGGCATTTTGATTATATTTGCTTTTTGTTCTTTCTGACATAAGCGATACATTCCTATAATCATCGAGATGATGTTTATAAGCTTTTACTTTGAGAGTAGAAAAGGTACCTTTCTTTCGAAGTGAAAGAAATTGTTGTATATTATTTTGTTTACATGAACTGAACATTACATGAAGTAACCTTAAACGCCAATTTTTATTTTTAGAAATTTCAAGATACGTACTAGTGGCTAATCTCTATGTATTAACTAGCTGCTGCCCCCGACCTACGTCTGCGTAGAATAGGCTGAAGGCGTAACATTCAGACAGAAAGACAGATATACATAAAATATGTGTATAAATTATAGCCTATGTCTTATTCTGACATATAAGCTATATTATTGTAAAGTTTCATTAAAATCCATTCAGTAGTATTTGCGTAAAAGACTAACAAACATCCATCTATACATACAAACTTTTGCGTTTATAATGTTAGTAAGGATAGTAAGGATATGAAATAAAACATGTTGCTTGAATATAAAGTAAGTAATGTAGATTTCTATCCGAGCAATCTCAGGACCAATAATTTTGTTAATTATAACTGACATAATACCAAATATTTAGTAACAGCGTAATCGAAATTGTCAATTTTAAACTAATCTCCATAGTGCTTACGTCATAACTTAATACCAAAACATTTGTCGCCTTTGCCACGTTTGTTTCTTACAAAATGGAACATAAAAAAATCCATAAAGCGTTAGCAAAGTGACTGGCTTTTTTCCATTGCTAAGCCCTCGACTATAATGAAGTTAATGGGGCCCGTGGTAAACAGTTTCTTACACAACATTGTTAAGTGCTTGGGCATTGTGCGCAGCGACAACAAAGCGAGGCTTCACGCCCTGTTGTTACAAATGGCTGCCACGGGGGCGGCCGCATTTAAAGTCGCCTAGGAGGCGTTTATCAAGTAGTGCGTTTTATTGGAGTGTACAGTAAAATTGTACACTGTATGGTAAGTTAACTTCAAATACAGTTGTTGTGATAATGTTTTTTGTTGTTCAATGAATGAAACATGGGAATTTAAAAACAAAGTAAAATGTTACTAAGATTTAATTTTGTCATTTCATTCCCGAAGTAGCGGACACTTTAGGTACCACAATCGTCTTAGTGACACCTACTGGTGACTGGAATAAACTGAAAATAAATAAATTTAACTAAATATTTCGGGACATATTTTAACACAACGTTATCTAGTTCCAAACTAAGCATAGCTTGAACTAATTTTATTAGGTAACTGATTAACATTCTTAAACATACTATTCTTTTGTAAATAAATACGTATTACAGATATATAAACACTCGGACATTAGAAAAACACTATTTTCATCACCCAAGATTTTTCACATTAGTTTTTCAACGTCGGGAATTTCAAGAACTAAATAAAAACGCGATAAAATCCGTAAACTAGTTTCATTTAATATGTATAATATACGCGTAAAATCAAGAAGTCAACAAATTGAATTAGATTATATACATAAGTGTATATTAACCTATGTGCATTTCTCGCGTAAATACATGAGTATCATTAAGATTAATATATGACGAATTAAAAAGCAAATGTTGAAAAAGTTTCACCATTTTTGTTATTAAGGCTATTTATCCGTTTTAAAGGCGAATTAAACATTTTAACGCACGTAGCTGTTATCAGTTAAAATGCTGTAATCTGCACGCATTCACAATGTCGTCTTGTGTCGGATATTACAAATAAGAGTAGACGTCTCGAGTGAACGCTGGTTAAAATATACTCTTACATTGCAACAGGGCTCCGTAACTCTCAGGACATGCAACGGTGTTTGAAGTCATAAAAAGTTTTATATGCCTTTTAGTACGCTTTCTGCTAAATCGTCACATACGACATATTTTATGAAGTAGGACCATTGTAAAGTATTTTCGAGTACTTAATAAAAATACAAAGATACTGTAAAGCTCCTATTATTTTTATAAAAAGGTGGCAAACGACATCAGGCGGCAAAAGACATCACCACCGCCCGTGGTCAATTACAGTATACTCTTTAAATAGCCCTGGCGACTAAAAATCTTACCGCCTGAAGAAATGCAAAATCACAAATTTAAAAAGCTCGAACAACAAAGAAGCTGCTGTGTGGGTTTTATGCTTCTTGGTAGGTAATACACATTCATTATACAGGTTGCGTTTAGTTCGGTGAGTGAAGTAGCGGGGGCCCACTATATAAAAAAGGTGGCAACGCATCTGCAACCGTACAACTGTTGCATATGTCCATGGGCGGCGGTTGTCACTTACCATCAGATGAACGCCAGCTTGTTTGCCACATAGAAAAAACAAGATTTAAAACCGCATAAATCGACATAACTCATTCGTGTTTGTTATTGTTTTGTACGAGCTCAATTACAAACAGTATCGATTTTGGAATGTAAAAAGCTTCGAGTCTCGAAACGCAACCATGGTAATAATCACCGGGCTGAATTGTAAATCGATGTATTGACGCAACACGAGCAACCCCGTATGGCGAGCGGCTCCTTTGAAACTCGGTGTCGAGGCTACGAGCTTAATACACTAACTAGATAGCAGAACCAGTGACACGAAGGCGAGAAGTTTCAATTTTATATTGAACTTTATTATCGAAATGTAAAGTCGACTGCGAAGTTTTTCTTCATAGAGGAAGTTGGCAAATGAGTAGACTGTCCACCTGATGTCAAGTTGTGTACTTACTAAAAAAATTAAGCCAGTGGAGTGCACCCAGATTTTAGATATGCAGATTTTAGGGCACTAAAAACTTACTCAATGATTACACTTGGAACTCAATTAACACGAAAAGTTAAAAGTTAAAGTTAAATTGTCATTAACGATTAAC